CGTGGCTGCAGTGGAAACCAACGAGGTTGCTCAAGCAGACGGTAGCCCTTTGTGTCGTTTGTCGATGTAGCCGAGAGCGTGGGTGGTGGAGCTGTGGTCGAGGTAGCCGTGCGAAGAATGCCATGGTCGATGTCGAGTCGGGGTGGCCGGTGTCGAGGAAGTCGCCGTGGAGCCGCGGGCGCAAGAGGGCGCCGAGTTAGCATGGGCGCAGTGGTGTCGAAGTTGGGGTGCGCCAGGAAGAAAATGTTGTTGACGACGCGTCGCGGCGGGTTTGCCAAGCCCGGGGACACATCTGGACGAAGGCATGCACCGGTGTTGCCAGCACTGGTCATGCGTAGACAAACGAAAACGAAGTTGGCTAAGCGCCGACCAGGCTTGCCAGGCCCGGGGACACGTCGTGGATGAAGGCACGAATCGGTGTTGCCAGCACCGGGCATGCATACATGAGGGACCAGCAGGAGCTGTACGCTATGTCGGAGAAGTCGGAGGGGCCAGCAGAGAAGAACTCGACGACGATTGCGGCGTCCATCAGCGCGGGGCCGATGTCACCAACGGTGGTCGGAGTAGACGAAGTGGTCGGGGTAGATGACGACGACGCTGGCGACGGCTAGTGCTTGGACAAAAACGAAGGGGGTGGACGGGCGGCGGCGGCGACTACAAAGGTAGCGGCGACGGCGGCCAAAGAAGAGCGACGGCGGCGGCTAGGTTTGCGGCGGCGGTGCTCGTGGTAGGCGAAGAACCCTGACAGCGTGACGAAGACCGACGTGGACGGTGGCGTTCCCGCGCCAAGAGAGACGGCACGGCGCATACCACGGGAGGTCGACGCGCGGTGACGGCGGAGTGGACCGCGGACCGCGGCGCTACGGCCCGAAGGGGCAATGCAGCGGCGGCAGGCGGGTCGGGGCGATGGCGGGAAGACCTCGGGGCGGCGGAGGGGACTGCGGGCCGCGACGCTGTGGCCCGAAGGGGTGACGCAACGGCGGTTCGCGAGTCGGTGCATCCGCAGGGACGGCCTCGGCACGACGGCGGGGACCGCATATCGCGGCACTATGGCCAGAAGGGGCGACGCAGCGGCGACGGACGAGTCGATGCAGCCGCGAGGAGAACCACAGGGTGGCGGCGCTGCGGCCCGATGGGGCGACGCAGCGGCAGCCCGTTGCTCGATTGGCGGAGGTGCGCGCTGAACTCGGGACAATCTTCACGGGACCTGTGGAGGCGCGCGCAACCGACGGGCCAGGTTGGTCGCGCGGTGTAGATGAGGCGGATCACGGCGGCAAGCGGGTGATAAGCCGATCGCGCGCGAGGTCGGGGATGCCGCTCGATGAAGGCGTGGTGGCGGCGGAGTCCTGGATGAGGCCGGCGACGACGGGCGGCATGGGACGTCAGCACCGACACCCGGGCTGCCAAAGCAGCGCCGGCACCCGGGCAGCGAGGCCCGAGCGACCAACGGAGCAGTGGTGCCCGAGTTGAGGCAGCCGACGAGCCTGATACATCCGAGGACGAGGTCGGCGAGTTAGACCGCTGAGCCGCCGTGAAACGCGGCGGAGGCCGGTGACGTGGATCGATGGGCGGGCCGGCGCGCGAGTGACGGCTATGATTGGCCGTCGCATGGCGCGAGGCCGCCTGGTCGGGCCGATGCAGGTTTCCCGGTCGGAGCAGGGCGGTGATGGTCGGCGCAGGGCGACGGGCGGACCGACGCGCGGACGGCGGCTGGTCTTGATGGGCCGCCTTGGAGCGCGTGGATGCCGGGTCGGAGGCGAGGCCGGCTGGTCGCGCCGGGGTTGGAGTAGAGGCGCACGGGGGTCGACAGCGGTGGCGGGCGACGCAAACCGATTAAGATTAGATCGAAAAACTAAAAAGAAAAAACGCCGATCAAAACGACCGACGAGAGAGCGAAAAAAGCAGGAGCAAGGGCTCGGGAAAAAGACTCTCTAGGGCAGCCGACCAACACGGCCGGCGGACGAACCCTAGGTACGGGTGGCGCGGCCCCCGGCGGTGGTCATGGAGGCCAACCACCCCAGGGGCGGCGTGCGGGTGCGGAAGCGGCGACGGCTAGGGTTTGGATCGTGATTAGGCTGATACCATGTTAGAAGGGAGAGAGAGATTTGATGAAATTGTTCGTTATATTGCTTGAGCCTAATGGGCATATATATAGGAGTACAATTATCTACTTGGAGTACAAGACAAGCCAGAATCAAATCCTAATCTATCTCATTTTTCCTAATAAACATTATACTCAACATTAGTAAATGTGGTTGCATTGTTGCGTTCACATCTGTCTCTCCCCCCTCCTCCACAATTCTTTCTCCCTCAAAGGTACTAGCAGTAGCACTGGGCACCGTCTAGAGCAGTTGCCGATCCATTGACCTGCAGCTTCCAGTCCATCAATCCATAGCTCGCACGGATGGACAGCAGATCGCCCGCCCACATAGCGAACCTGAGTGGCAACGAGGCACCGAAAAATGGTTAGGTTACTTTCGTTTCTTACTTTCATTACTTAGTCTATGACTTGTGTTTTAAGATCCTTTAGAACTACAGGATTCGATCAGTAGAACCTACAAGGTTTGTATTGGTTATCCCCTCCTATAGTAAAGATTTAGTTACATCTGAATTGAATTTATAGCAATTTTCTTTATGGCAATTTTTAATAAAAATTGAATTGCTTGTAGCTGACACAATTTTTCTTCGTTTGATTCGGATATAGGTCATCAACATTGGCTATTGTCCTACTAAAAAATCTAGGCTATTGTCTCTGCTATGATCTTTTTATAAGTCTCCACACCAAACACATAATTTGGTACCCCCTATGTTCAATGCCTGGCTACATCCCTATACAGTGGTTTTGCCAGCCCATCAGAGTACAAGTCCTAAACTTGACACTAGTGCTCGTATTTTTCTAAATTTATTTCAGCCCTTCTGATGATGTGCGTTCCATGGGAGAAGATGCTTTCATAGACTACGAAGACGTATGTGGCGACTTTGTCAATCTCAAGATAATGTGTCGGCTAAGTCTATAAGAGGTGCTCATAGAGGTAGGGTATGCGTGCATGCGTTCATAAGGGTGAGTGTATGAGTGTTTGCGTCTGTACTATGTTAAGAAAAACAGTTTAACCCTAGCCATTTGCACAGGGAAAGTAAACCTACAGGAAAACTACGACAAAACATAGAGTAAACAATACTGCATACATCATTCGAAGCACCTCCATCTTGTGAAAATCGATTAATAGATTATCAGGGGCTGGTATCGAGGAGACGGTGCCAATAGTGCCACTGTGCCAGAGGGCGTGTCAGGGCTTCAGGAGGATTGGCAGACCACATGTAATTCAAATCAATAACATTGCCCAAAATGCGCGACAGTGCTTCAGGAGCGTTGGCAGACCACACGTAGTTCAAACCAATAACATCGCCTAAAATGCAAATCATTACGTAGCTTCAAAGTGGTCACACATCATTGCACTGGTAAACATATTAATCATGGATCTGTTGGAATCACTCGTCCATAGACTTGCCACATGTTCATAGCTACATCCAACCTCTTTATAACACCATGTACGAAATGCCATAGCAAATTAAATGTATCACATTACATTAATAAAACAGATGGGTGACAGT